TAAATTTATTAATTAAAATTGATTAGAAGGGTAAACTCACACATAAAGAGAGTTTATAGTTAATAAAATAGTATTTCTGTGATGTTAAAGTATAGACTTTATAACTGTGATCTCGAAAACCGCAATCGTACAAAGAAATGATAGTCAACGAATCGACTGGTAGAAATCGAGTAAGAGACATTTGGAAGGTCATGCTAATATATAACTAGAAGAAAGATGGTAGACGGTAAAAAAAGTAAAAGATAGGTCATATAGCTCACATAAATAACTATATACATATGACAAAATAATGGGTGCAATCGCAGAGGACTTTACGCTAAATAAGCCGGATTTTTCTATTAAAGCAGAGTTGTTTGCGTACCTTATGCGACAGGCGTGTATGAAATCGGGTAGGATTTGTTATTTATAACAAGGACGCTCAGTCTATTATATGTGTGGAGAAAGTAAGTCGGATAGTAATTTATTTGTAAAAATAATTACAAACAAATGGTTACTAATAGTTGGTGAAAAGGTAAAAGTATGGATATTTTTTAACATCCACGACATTACAAAACTTAGGACCTGTATATGTACATAATATATAAAATAAGTAAATCTTACGATTTTTACTTATTATTTAAAAGACAATAAAATAAAAATTCTCATTTTTTTTAGTTAGATATTTAAAAAATTTTATATTGTTTTATAAAAATGTTTTAAAATATTAAAGTGAATTTAAATTTAACCATATAAGCAACAAGTATTTTGTTTGAATACAATATTTAAATATGTCCCCAAATTTCCCAAAACAATATAATTTCCTTAGTATCTACAACTAATCGACAAAACGTCAAAATAAAGACAGCGAAAAACGTCAAAAAGGCGCTAAGACATACCGACAGAAAAAGAGTCAATAAATTGTATAATAGAAATTTCCAGATAGCTACAGAATGGTATATAACTGCCTTATTAACTATATAAGACAGATTGTGGTTGTAAGTTTTATCAAAATAATTTTCCTAAAGCAATATATTAAAAATTACTGAAATATTTCATTGAATTTTTCTTAATAAAAGATAATCAAAACCAAAAGAATAAGCAAACTAAATATGTAGTAAAAATTTTTATAATAATTTATGAATAATAAGTTGTTAAAATAACCTGTGAATTTCGTTCCAAAAACACATACGTATAAAATATGACCGACGACGGGTGCGATGTGCCGTACGACTCACACAGCAAAAGCGGCCCGACGGACATAGAAAAACGACGACAACGAAGTTGAAGTGAAAAACATTTTGGTTTGAAGAATATTTATTAAAAATTATTAAAAAATTTGATATATGTAAGTGATAAAGGTCCCAACTGGAAAAGATATAATGGTAAGTTAATAAATTGTTTATTAATTAAATTAGAATTTTAAAATATACAACTATTTGTTTTCTCGAGTAAAGAAGCAATTCTTTGTATAGAGACGAAGTATTGTAGAAAATTGACAGCAAGTGTCGTGCC